GAGGGCACTGAAAGCCTCTCAGCTGTCGCAGGGCTTCTCATTGGTTCTCTTCGTGGCTATGTTTAGTGGGGGATTAGTTTGCTTCATGAGACCCCTTCGGATGAACAGCCATCGGACTATACGTGATCTATTATTCTTCGTCTATGGCCTCACGCTATGGGAATACGTCTCTGTAAACGATGGCGTGATTACGTTCCCTGAGTATTTGCTGCTGATCTCCGTTTATTGCTTCTATTTGACTGTCAATGTGCTAGATCTCTATATAGAGCACATTAGCTTGAAATGTAGGTGAATAGATGAGCGAATGCCTCGTAGTAAGTTATCACTGTAATTCCTTCCGATTTCCGTTTTGCAGTGTTGAGACGACAAATTCAGCTCCGAACAACCAAAGTGCAAGCCATAAATGAAAAGTATTACATACTTGTTCAGGATCTACGACTTGGAACGCCATGTCGTACGTATACCAATTCGATTTGCAGTGAATTTCAGAATAGCAAGAAGGAACGCTGTCTTGGCCTGAAACTGTGCCGCCTCAAGGATTGGCAGCGGGCCAATGCATTGATACGCGCCTTCTACATTGCCCGTGCCCCGATCGTGTGGCTATGCGCCATCTATATACCGCTGGTGGATCACGAGCGGGACAGACATGGCTGGTGCAAGCTGCTCAACTGCATCCAAATATGTCTCAATCCTGCGCTTACGATTGCCCTCATGTCTCGCGGCACATCCATGTCGTCTCTCTATGTACTCTACTCGTTGATGTTGACCCTTCCGCTCAGTGTGCTCATGCTACTCCGGTCCGATGCCAGAGTTGCGCCCAAGTATCATTCGATGTTTGCCATTTTGAGTCTGCATGGATGCTTGTTCATCGTACAGCACCTGGTCAGGGAACTAGCGTTGATCCTGGAACTGATTGGCACGATAAGGCATATGTCGCCCGGTTTTATGGACGTCTCTGTCAATCCCATTGCCAATGGCCTAACGGATCTGGTTACCAGCTTTTCCCTCTGCAAACAGGGCTACGAGCGAATGGCTTACGCAGCAGCGATCGGCAGCAGCTTTCTGAGTATCATTCTGGGCAAAGATGGCAGTCTAATCACGGCAATAATTTTGTACGGCTTAAATGCCGATGCAGAAATGATAGCTGTGTGTTGCGAAAATGCATTCATTATCTTGATCCTGGGCCTGCTATCCATGCTACTATTGATATCGCTATTCAAATTGAACTCGCAACGCTCGATGGGCATTTACTCCATGTCTATTTATTTGACATATTTCCTATTCACTGCACTTGTGATGAAATGGACTTTTCACAAATTTCAAATAGACATTTTCTCTAATACTCATAGACCCGATTCTTGAAGAAAAGGAAAAGAGAAATAAATAAATTTGTGAGTGTGGAAAAGGTTTTTTATTTACTAAACATTAAACTCTAATTGTGTAAAGGGTAACGCTCTAAACTTTTTCATAATTGTTTTAATTCCCTTATTTAATAGAAATAATAACTATATAATTAAACAAGAAAATGTAAAATTCATTTCCAAATTTTCTAAATCAATATATCATTGACAATTTTTGAAAGCAGTTGGTTCGGCTCTCACATTGCCCAGTAGAAATCAGTTCGAAGTATAATTTAGTAGTTTTGTAGTTTTGTATTTTTGATACATATAAATAATTTGTGTAACAAACTGAAATTGAAAGGCATGGACAGTAAGCAGTACGTGCCAAATGAGTTAGATAAGGAATTCGAACAGTTTTGGGCCAGGGTCAGTTGCTACGCTGTGAAGATCTTTCCATACGACCAGAGATGTAATTTTGTGCAGCGGGCCAACAGTTGCGTCTACGGCACGAATGTCGTGCCCTATATTCAGTTGATGGCATGCGATCTGAAGTGCCGGAATCAGTTTGAGGAGTATGTGTATGTGTCCCTGTTTTTGGTGCTCTGCTTGGAGCTGCTCTGCTGCATGAGCTATGTTATTCATAACTTTTACGGACCGGCCTTGAAGCTGGTGGCCCGGATGTTGCATATGAGCGAACATTTGGCCGGAGTTACCATAATATCAATTGGCAACGAACTTCCCGAACTCGTTGCCAATGTGTGGGCCGTGCACGACGATGACGAACCAAACTTTGCGAATGCCCTTGCAAAGGGGTTGTACTTGATCATGTTTGTCGGCGGTTTGGTCTGCTACCTCAGTCCATTCAAGATGAGCGGCTCAACGACAATCCGGGACTTGCTGTTCATGGTATGCGGCGTCCTGTTGGTAGATTATTTTCTAAGAACTGATAACGAGATGGATCTCAGAGAGTGTATTGTCTCAATATTGCTGTATATTATATATCTGATAGTCAGTGTGACTGACCTATTAATACTACGACGCACTACAAAACGTAAGAAATATTTACACAAAGTATATATAGTATATATATATATTTAATTGTCACGTAACACAGAGTTGCTGAAGCAAATTGATGAGCTGGAACAGTTGAATGTGGACGTGAATGTTAGGAGACCTGATTCGTATAATATTCGAAAAAAGATTGAATTACTGAAAAAGAAATATGATGAGCTGTCTGAGCATGAGGTTGTGGATATTTTGGCGCGTCAGTCGACCTCCGTACAGAAGCCAGATGAAGCATTTTTTACATATTTAACCAGACGTTCAGAGAGACATCCATCTATCAGAAGAATGAAACAGTCAGTGGCATATAGAGGTTTTCGTAACAAGAATCGCTTCCTCTTTAGGCAATTCTTTAGTTCACTCCGGCCCGTTTTTATGGATGATTGGATCAAGGGGAATATACTAAAGCGTACGTTTTACATTGTACGTGCACCAGTTGTGGTGGTGTGCGCCATCTACATACCGTTAGTGGATTACGAGAAGGAAAGAGATGGTTGGAGTAAGCTACTAAATTGCATTCAAATATTCCTCAATCCAGCTATCACAATTGTCATTGGGTCAGCTTTGATATATCGGGAAAAATCAAAACTTTGGTACCTCAATATACCAAAATTTGCGGTGTACGGCATTTACTCCATGGTAATAACCGTGCCACTTGCCATCATAGTGTTCATCCATTCGAACACCTCAGCTCCGCCGAAATATCATATTGTGTTTGCGATCATGAATTTCACTGGCTCCGTCTTTCTAGCCATGCAGTGCTCCTATGAGTTGTCGCTCTTCACGAAGGTGATCGGTAGCATCTATGAGGTTCCGTTCGATTTCATGGGTGTCACCCTCCTGGTCGTGGCCACCTGCCTGAGTGATCTTGCTATCTGCGTGTCGCTGAGCATGCAAGGGTACGAGAAGATGGCCTACGCAGGCACCATTGGCAGCAGCTTCCTTACTATTGTCGTCGGTTGCACCACAACGATGCTGGCAGTGATACTCAGAGGCAACACTGCGCGCTCGAATGACGCTATGGGCAATTATGCGGACAACGCCTATGTTATTTTTATAATCGGACTCGTCCTTACGATTCTGTGGACGGTGCTGTTGAACTTCAATGCCAGACGCTCTGTCGGCATATTTTCCATGTCTGTCTTTGGTATATTCCTTTTATTTGCGGTGCTTATCAGGAAAGGCATTATCCACTCGTACAGTCACGATTTTCTTGTTCGCGATGCTTATGACAGCTAGAAGCATAAATTTACTAGTATATTACAATTGGACAATAATAAATTATAAGATATTTGTTTAAGAACTTTAAGACGTAATACTCCTTATTTATATAATTTGTGTAAAGAGCGATATGCTGCTGTACTTGGGCTATATTTTGGGAACTTTTTTTTTTATCAATGAATTTTTTTTTATCGATGAATTTTCATAAAGTTTTCAGATCTTGATAAAAAAAAATAATAATTTTTTTTTTTATATTTATATATTTCAAAACAGGCTACTTTTATTCGGCCATTAGTCCAATCATTTATTGGGCGCTCAACCATAACACGCTACGACAATCGCCCTGTGCGCCCATTATTCGCCTACGCTCCATGCAAAATTTTCTACGTTCGCGTTTTCGATCGCACACCGTACCGGCGGCGGCATCATCGACAAACGAAGCGGCATTGGGGGCATTCAATCCTAAGTTAATAAAGCTAACACCGAAGCAGTATAGAGCTCAGGCCTCTTCGCATTATCTCTACTAGTGTGTGATACTAAACTAAACTTAAATATATACATATACATACATGCCTACATAAATATATAGAATTTTCCTTTAATTTCCGTTCTGTCTTGAAGTGTTTTTCTCTTCGCAATTAGTTGGCAAAAAGCGAATACGAATACTTAGTGTAATGTCACACGGCATACTCTAACACACACCCATACACACACACATACATTATCATTATCATTATCTTCTCAATTGCATCTCGATTCATGCCAACATTCATGAAACTACAATTACACACGTTAATAGTTATTAACGTTTATTAACACAAATCGTAATACAAATTAATCGTAATAAAACTCGTTTAGTCACTCGTTTATAATGTTGTTTAGTCAATAAGCTGAAACTTTCAAAGAAATCACATAAAAACATAATAATATTGTACTATGTTCCTTTTCATAGATAAGCAATAAGAAACGCTTTAAGCCAAGTTTAACAAACAAATCAAACTGAACATGATCTAAAACCAAAACCAAAAACAAAATATAATTAAACTAAATCAAATCAAATATTTAACAAATCTATGTCTATAAGAAACAGCAAAAATTAAAAAAAAAAACATATACATAGATATATATATATATATTGTATATAAATGTGTAAAACATTCTTTCTACACTTTTTCTAACATTTTTGAAGTTCATTCAACTGAAAGATCTGTAAATCATACGCAATAGAAGATATTTCAATTTACAAAACCTAAATTATTATCTATAATTAAAGTTATACTAACTTCAATTTATGTACATCATATGTAGAACTGTTTCTTTGAATATATGTATATGTACGTCATAGTTGTTACTCATATTTATGTATACTTATGTTTCTCTTCTTAATTTCCTCTATAGATTCCCACATTTTTAGTAAGTGTTCTATTTTGTGTAGTTTATTTTCCTAAATTTCTATAAATTCATTTTAGCAAGCCGACGGAAATAATAAATATATAAATATACATTGTATGTAGACAGCAAATGATGAGCGCACCTATCACAAATTCTCTGGGTAAAAAGACTTTTGTCTAATTAGCAATTAATTGCCTGTTAACTGACTGGCGCTGTTAGCTGCGTTAACATTGTGAAACTTAACATATTCAGCCGTAGAAAAATCTGTTCTAATGTAATTGATTTCGAAATACATATGTACTTATTTTCAAGATACTCGTTATTTTTATAATTTTAATTTTGTGCTTGGAACTCTAATTTAAAAAAAAATGAAAATAAAAAAACAGAATCTATCAATTCTATAAATATTCTAGTACTAGCTACATGTTTTCTTTACCAACACGAATTTAATCTTTTGATCGTTGCAGAGTAACAGTGAATCGGGTAAGTATTTGTTGCAACAGTTATCAATGTATTTCAACTCGTGAAGATTATCTTGGCATTAATAGATAACTGCTATATGTGGATTATTTTCGTCTCCATTGCGCTGCTTATCAGGAAAGGTCTAAAAGCCGAAAGGCAAACATTTAATAGCATTGATATCTTTTATTTTAAAAGAGGTAATTCTTTTTGTGTACGATTTTATCTAGAGATATCTCCCTTAGGGGAGTTTTGCAAAGTTAATTAAGTCTTCAGTTCCTTTATAAATAGATGTATGAGTGATATGATATGATATGGCCCGCTTCATGTTCATATTCATATTCAGGTTATTTGCCAGAATCCAGAATCCATTATTTACAAACAGCTGCTCATTTCATTTTTCAAAACCAGTATGAATTTTCGATCAAAATATATTCAGTTTCCAAAAAGATTTCAAATAAAACGTAACACAAATAAAAAAAAAAAATAAAATAAAAAAAATAAAAAAAAAATTAACTTTAACTTACATTGGAACTATATACATATTACAGAATCATGACCACAGTATATGAGGAGAACGATTTGGACAGAGAATTTGCAAATTTTTGGTCGCAAGTAAATTGTTATTCGGTAATGAATTTTCCGTACGATCAGAGATGCGATTTTGTGAGAAGGGCCAATAGTTGCATACATGGCACGAACTTCGTGCCATATATACAACTATTGTCGTGCAGCTTCAAATGCCGGAATCGTTTTGAAGAACATGCCTTTGTCGGTCTCTTTATGATTCTATGCTTTCTGTTGCTGCTCTCTGCCGGACACGTGGCGAATGTTTACTATTCTCCAGCACTGAAGGTTTTGTCTCGACTGCTTCGAATGAACGACCATTTAGCGGGAGTCACAATAATGGCATTATGCAATACGATACCAGATTTGCTATATCAAATAACTATAGTTAATGATCGGGAATGCGTATTCGCCAACGACATGGCAACATCATTGTTTGTGGTAATGTTTATAGGTGGATTGGTCTGCTATTTAACAACATTTCAAATGAATGCTTTTAATACGGTGCGAGATCTGCTATTCTTAATTTTTGGCTCAATGTTATTGGAGTTGTGCTTGTTTACTGATCGCTCAATAAGTTATATTGAGATAATTGGAATGATATTGGTGTATGTCACCTACTTAATTGTCAATGTGATCGACTTGATTCTGATCAAGTATACTCTGAAATGTAAGTAGGCAAGAACCGTCAGTGAACAAGATTGATTTAATAATGATCTTTGATTAACGTTCTCACCTTATCAACCATTTATTCAGTGTTAAGGCGTGAATTACTCGCATTAAACGAAATGCCCGATTCACCTGAAACTCTGGCGAAAATAAAGTCCTTGACAGGTGAAATAAATAAACTGTCTAAGGAGGAACGCGTACAAATTGTAAAACGACGTACAACCAACGCGAGGCAACAGAATTTCACTTTCATGACACAAGTTCCCAATGAACATGAAAAGCTTGATATTGACCAAAGACGCAGTTCACGTTATTTCGATATGAATCGGGGTCTCTTCAAAGACTTCATCTTAGCATTCAAGCCCATTAAATTAGAGGATTGGCGCAATGCCGGTATTATTGAACGAATCTTTCTTGTGGTACGTGCTCCAGGTGTGATTCTTTGTACCTTCTATATACCGTTAGTGGATTACGAGGAACCAAAGAATGGTTGGTCCAAGCTACTCAATTGCATCCAAATATGGTTTAATCCAGCTTTAACAATCACACTGGGAAAATCTTTGCTTTTTAGAAATAAGAATCAAATGTGGTATAACAGCATACCAAATAATATGATATACGGCTTATATTCTCTGGGATTGACTGTCCCATTGTCCATATTTGTATTCTGTCAATCGGATACTAGAGCCCCGCCCAAATACCATTCGGCATTCTCGATCTTAAACATGACTGGATCCGTTTTTATAATATTTCAGTGCACCACCGAATTAAATGTAATGATCGAAATGGTTGGCTATCTTTATGGCGTTTCAGACCAATTTGTGAGCTCCACTTTAATAACCGCAACCAATTGCCTTGGTGATCTAGCAACGATTTTAACCATGGCCCTGCATGGATATGAGAAAATGGCGTTCGCAGCGACCATTGGGGGTGCGTTGCTTTGCATTCTGTTCCACTGCGGCAGCGTGATAGGGGTGAAGAAAGCATTGGGCCAACACATTACCTGGCATGCCATGGTTGGCAATTATGGTGGAATATTGTTTGTAATATTCACATTTAGCTTACTTATGATGCTGCTATGGACTACCTTGCTGAACTTTAATGTGCGACGCTCGGTGGGGATCTTCTCCATGTCCATCTATGGTCTGTACGTAATGTTTGCAGTTTTAATCAATAAGGGAATTATTAGTCCATACGAGCATGAGGCTATAAACCCTGAAGTTTTTAAATATGGGATAGATTAAGAATATATTATCCGAATTTTGCTTTTTTTTTTTAACACAAACATATGTATATCAGATTCTAAAAATTGCCCAGACTATCAAAAATAAAGCAGTGTGAAGTTAACAGGATTCAAGATTAACAGGTGGCAGCACTGCAGTTTTAAATTTCAAATTTGTGTATATCTAATTTATCGATATTGTGGCTTGCAATAAAATGTAAAATAATATAAAATTATAAATGTTCTACTTCTAGTTGTTTTCATTATCAGTGTGATTTTATTTAATATTCGGACTTGCGGTAACTCTACTAAGCGAATGGTGTTGAACTTTCATTCTAGTTCTTCTACTGGCATTCATTCCACGCCCCTCAAGGTGCTCATCCGGAAAAGCATAATACGTATTATTATCTTGTTACGATTCATTACTTTGCAGGTTGCCATTCTTCTATTACGAACTTCATAATCGGATGCTCATTTTTTATTATTTAGAATTTAAAGGCATGATTTTCCAATCCAAATACATATATTTAGTTCAGAAATAAGTTTCAAAGTAAACAGAACACAAAATATAAACACAAACAGAAAAATAACAAAAAAAAAAAAATTAAACAAAGTCTTATTTCGATTATGTAGATGTACTTACATAATAAATACAAATATATTATAGGATCATGGACACAGCGTATGAGGAAAATGATATGGACAGAGAGTTCGCCCATTTTTTGTCAAAAGTGAATTGTTATACCGTGGTTAGATTTCCATACGACGAGAGATGCGAATTTGTGCAAAGGGCCAATAGTTGCGTAGTTGGCACGAACTTCCTCCCATATATGCATTTAATGGCCTGCAGCTTCAAATGTAAGAATCGCTTCGAAGAACACCTCTTTGTCAGCCTTTTTATGATTATATGCTTTGGGCTGCTGCTTTGCATGGGACTTGTGGCGCATATTTATTATTCTCCAGCATTGAAAGTTATATCGCGAATGCTTCATTTGAACGATCATTTAGCGGGAGTCACGATAATGGCATTATGCCAAACTATACCGGATCTGCTATTTCAGATAACCATAGTTAATAATCGGGACTGCGTTTTCGCCAATTACGCTGCAAGCTCTATGTTCGTAGTGATGTTTACAGGTGGATTGATCTGTTATATAACACCATTTCAAATGCATTCTTTTAATACGGTCCGAGATCTGCTGTTCTTAATTTTTGGATTAGCGCTCTTTGAGTTACAGATGTTTTCTCATGGGGAACTAAGCTATTTAGAGAGTTTGGGAATGATAATTGTATATGTCGTCTACTTGGCTATCAATGTTATTGACTTTTTCCTGATCAAGTATACTCTGAAAGGTAAGTAAGCGGAACGTTGATTGATTTTAAAATGAGCTATGATTCTTACCTTCTCAAACTAATTCAGTGCTTAGACGTGAATTACTTGAATTAAACGAAATGCCCGATTCACCTGAACAAACTTTGAGAAAAATCTACTTGACCAATGAAATAAATGAGCTGGCTAAGGAAGAACGTGTAAGAATTTTAAAGCGACGTACAACTCGTACGAGGCAACAAAATTTCACGTTTATGACGCAACTTCCCAATGAACATGAAGGGGTCGAAATTCAAAAATATCGTAACTCTCGCTACTCGCGTATGAATCAGCATCTCTTCAAAGAGTTCCTCACAGCTATCAAGCCGATCAATGTAGAAGATTGGCGCCATGCCAGTATGAGTCTACGCGCCTTCTATTTGGCGCGTGCTCCAATTGCAGTCATATGTGCCATTTATATACCCCTAGTGAACTACGAGGAACCAAAGAATGGTTGGTCCAAGCTACTCAATTGCATTCAACTATTCCTCAATCCAGCTATCACAATCGTACTGGGCAAATCCTTGATTTTCAGAAATAGGGGCAAGCTCTGGTATAACAGCGTGCCTGAGGATTGCATATATGGCGTATATTCTCTGGTACTCACTGTACCAGTCGCCATATTTGTATTTTTTCACTCAGATACGAGAGCTCCACCTAAATATCATTGGATATTCTCAATTTTAAACTTGACTGGTTCCGTATTTTTAATATTTCAGTGCAGCTCCGAGCTATGTGTAATATTCGAAATGGTTGGATATATCTATGATGTTCCAGATCAGTTTATGAGTGTAACTGTAATAGCTATGGCCAATCGCTTAGGTGATCTGGCAACAATTTTAGTAATGGCCCTGCATGGATATGAGAAAATGGCGTACGCAGCGACACTTGGCAGCCCGTTATTTGTCATTTTGTTGCACTGTAGCGGTGTGATAGCTCTGAAGAAAGCCTTCGGCCAAAATAGTTCATTCCATACACTGTCTGGAGATTATGGTGGAATATTGTATATACTGTTCACAATGGGTTTATTTATGACGCTTCTATGGACGACCTTGCTGAACTTCAATGCGCGACGCTCGGTGGGGATTTTCTCGATGTCCGTCTTTGGTCTATTCATATTGTATGCGATTTTAATCAATGCGGGAATCATCAGTCCGTTCAAACGCGATGGATTAGTCACCGATTCCTTTGATAGTCATTAGAACACCTGAGAATTTATTATGTAATAATTTAAATTTTTGTATTCATCACAAATATATTTATATGTACATGTATCAGTAAAATTTCGCAAATTTCAATTAGAGATACGGTTGACATTTTACTGTAATGATGCCAGCTTAGCATATTTCAGGCTAGATCTAAAGAAATCCATTGAAAA